TATTGAATTGCGAAATTTAATCAATTGCAGATGGATGTTTACGAAAATGCAAAATTATTTCGTAAATATCGCACAAAGCAACAATTATCAACTGGAATTATTCAGAAACAATCCAATAATCGTAATGAACGTTTGTCGCATGTCGCATTTGGTAGCAAAATGGCGAATGATTTAAATGTAAATTATGTAGAACGAAAAAATGCAAGTCGACAGCAGCAACGACACTTTAAAAGAGATTTATCTTTTCATGAAAATGCAAATGAAGTAAATAATGAAATATTTTCATTGTCTGATACAAATTTTGTTACTGATGCTTTTACAACAACAACAACAACAACAACGAGTGCCACTACTATTACTGCTACAACAAATAGTACCAGTAATACTGATATTGTTAACAGATTTATGGATCCTATTACGGTTATTAAAATATTTTCAAGTATAAATGATTCAATACTGAGGAGTAAACGAATGGTAACATATTCAGATGTAATTTTTTTGAGTTATAATTTAGTGAACTTGGAGAAATGTGCTGCATGAAAAGTTTCAAGCTTTACTAATCATTTCTTTTTAATTTATGTTCGGTAATAAATACGATTTTCTAGCACGAAGTATATTACACTTGAACAGAATATGGTCTTTTGGTTGCTTTAAATGAGTTTTTTAGATTAAAAATTTTAATCAGTGCTTTTTTTAAATCATTCTTTGATGTTACTATTATTCGTCCTTATGTTTATTATTTATTGTTATTTTTTTATATCTGATTATATTTAATTTGCCCGTTTCATATTGTATTACTTATTCAGTATTGGTTTATTCAATAATTATCAATATTAATAACCCATTCATTAATTTCAATTTAATTTATAATCATTTATATTAGTTATTAAGGGAGAGACAATGCGATATGAGACAATTGAAGCACACTGTAATTGTGCCAATAAACTTGACATGGAATGTATTATATTCGAATCAGTCCCACCATCTGATTATGCTAAATGTATTTGTACCTTCGATAATAAAATGGACATTGCTTGGCCATGTTTCAATATATCGTTCGTACTTTTTTAACTATTTAAAATAATTAAAATATATAAGTTACAATTAGCATTATTTGACTATTCAATTATTCTATGTATTCGAATCACGATTACAAAGATTGAAATGCACATTATCAGTCAATATTTGTTATGCTTCATTAATTCAGCGATCACTTAATTTCTCGGCATTTCCGAATTATTTAAATTTAATTATTTTATTTTTTGTTTTTTC